TCCTCATCCTGAGGTGACATGTTTCCAGCCAACATGGGGATAGCTGAAATCCCCCATTATTGTTGGGTTTTCTGTTTTTGCAATCTCTCTCATCTCCCTGAAGATTTCACCATCACCATCCTGGGCAGGATGTCAATGGGACTTAGGATTCTATGTGCTTAAGTCATCTTTGTAAATGGGACTTCAGCTCCTGAGTCATTTAGATGCTTTTGAAAATTTTACCTATAAGCCCTTATGTTTCAGCCAACCACTAATTGAGAGAGGCTAAGAAGAACCTTCTCCTGTGGTCAAGTTATTTCATAATTGTCCATTATGAGGTTCCAGGAACCTTGGTGCTGTCCACTATTGGAGACAGGATACTGGAGTAGATGGACCATGGGTCTGACCCAGAATGGCAATTCCTCTCTTCCTGAGTGATGATGGTGCCCAGGAGATCATGTATCTATGCCTTACTCTCCGAGGACCTGATCTTTTAAGGTTCTGATCACTAGCATGATCTTATTGTGGGGGAAGAAGTATTGCCTAGTGGACAGAGCAGTGAAGAGGGACTTGGGAGACCTGGATTCTATTGCTGGCTCTGCCAGTGGCCCGGTGGATGACCTTGGACAAGACACTTCAATGCCCCTGTGCCTCCATTTCCCCCTTGGTAAATGGAGATAATGATACTGACCTCCTCTGTAGCTATGTGGATGGCAAGTGCTGCAATAGGCTAGATAAGACTATTCATTATTTTTATCAATTCCTATTAACTTTGCAGCGTGTGCGGTGCAAAGTTTCAATAGAATATAAACATTCATTAGACTTTTAGACATTTTAGCTGCTGCAAAACACAGTTAGCCTGGGAACACCTATGCTCATCATTCTCCTTAGTGACATAGAGTTATTAGTTAGGAATTCACCCAGCCACTCTGTGGGCCAGACGGAAGGGGAACATTACAAGTAGCGAGCAGAAGCTTGAACGTGTTGGAAAAATTAGCCTGCAGTTGGGTTTTCAAGTGTTACTCGGTAGATGGCTGTTCTACTAACACATTATTTTTGGAACAACTGTAAAGGCTCTTGAAATACCAGTGAAGAGCGTTACTGCTCAGGTCTGAGGGGAGAGTGCCCAGTCCCACTTCACCAAAAAGTATGACCTTAATAAATAAGTTATCCAACCGGGACCAATCCTGGCTCCACCACACACTACCGTGCTTTGCAAATATCCTAGAGAAAGACGCAGTAACGGACAAGGAGTCATGATCACTTTCATCATTGCAAAGGACATTGTTATTCATCGTCCAGTAGCTTTATAGCAAGCATAAACCAGCTACAACAGGGAAGCGTAATGCATCTGAACATTATTTCCATTGGAATAGTTTCCATTTCAATGTCACTGAAAAAAAATAAAAGGATATGAGATTAAAAAAAAAAACAAGGAGCAAAAGCCAGAGGAGGTATAGGGAGAAAAGTATTTCACGTGGAGGGTACCACAATATCCCTCCACATTTTGTCCACGTGGCATTTGTCATCTAGCAATGTGGAATTAGGGGAGTTAGATGGAAAATCATTGAATCCCAAATATGCTTAGTAACCAGTTCCCAAGTTTCTGTACTTGATACTTTACAGACAATCCAAAACCTGCCATGTGGCTGCTTGTGATATTTACCAACAGTGGGACTTTCAAAAGCATTTAAAGGATTTAGGAGCAGCAGTCCCAATGAAAATGGATGTGACTTGTGCTCCTAAATCCTTCAGATGCTTTTGGAAACCTCCCCCAAATATTTTCTAATATCAAACAGATTTGCACCTGATGTGATCGGTTAGTGAAGCCAGAAAACCTCAAATTTTGCTATTCATCACTACTCTTCAACTGGCCATGCTCAGAGGTGGTTCAAAGGGCATGGGAAGGAGCAATACATGTACCAACAGAGGAGGTAAAAGATAAGACAACAGTATATACATGGGTCAAGAACATTCACAGACTTTCTCATCGTATCTAGTAGGCCTAATGGATTTCAGCATGGGATAAATAGTAAGGAAATGGTCCTGTACAGTCATGCTGAATGAAAGTCAAGGCACTTTTAAGCTCCAGCAAGATGATTATTCAAGGACTGAATAAGCGAGTGAAGCACCGCATACAAACTAAATGGATATAAGCAAGAGTGATGACCACTTACATGAATTGAAATGGATAAAGCTGCAGCCACAGAATCCAGTTGAGAACAGCCCTGAATTCAGTATTGTCCCCACAGTAACTATTAATACAGTCAGGATGGCATTATTGCAGTAGCATATCATAAATGCTTACCATTTTTGGAGAGAATCACAGCCAAATAGTCATGAAAGTAGGTGTCGATGTAGAGCAGGAGGCTTGGAGCACGTGCTGTCAGGAAGCTAAATGCAATGTTTTCCTTGGACATGATGGCGTCTGCATAAATGCCAGAGGATGAAGTGCTTGCATTTTTGGTCACTGGATAAGGCTCTTGGAAAATATAGGTAACTGAGGTGCCAGCTTCAAACACTGCAGAAACCTCTGAAAATAATACATAAACCAAGGAATCTATTTCAGATGGTGCATTTTCAAATCTTAAAATTGGACATAGGCCTGAACCAGACCATCAGATCTGCACTCCCCACCCACCCCAAATCTTTCGAAAGGTGCAGACGTGAATCTCTGATTTGAACTTCACAAGTCTGGCTGTCTGAGTCAGCCACACATGTTTCTGTTCCTGTGAGGAGCCCCAGAGTAGGGTAGGGGCAAGATGTGCCTGGAGCAGTAGAAGCCAACTACAGGTGTTCGAGTCATTCTCCATGGACATGGCAGATGCCGGCAGACCACCACAGAAAAGCATCTCTCAGAGAGGAGCATGCTGCAGAATGTTCCTTACACATTCTACAGTAAGGACCTCCATCTTGGCTTGTTTCCTGGCACTTGGAGAGACCCTCTTCGTACTTTCAGCCTGGTTGCCCATGGAAAACCACTGAGGATGCAAGCTGGAGCCAAATCCCACCTTAAACTATTGTGGTGGTAGCAACAGAGTTCTTCAGGTCTGCTCTGGGTTCGAGGTCCTTTTGTCCTCGTTCTACCCTAACCAACCTTTGAAGGACTGGCTAGAAATTAGCCCATATCTGTTCCTTCCTTTAAAATAAACAACTATTAACAGTCCACATTTACAAAGGTATTGTAGCTAAGAGATATGCCTATGTCCTCAGAAACTGAGAAGTCTAGCTATATGTGGTCAGGTCCAGGAGACAGACTTTGTGTTTGCATCACATGCATAAAATGGTCTAGCCACAAATATATTTAGATGACAACAGCAGTTGGAGGGTGACATCTTCTACTATTTACTGGGTAGTCGTAGGCTGATTCCAACGGTACTTTCCCATAGTCCACAGTATCTGTACACACCTCTGAACAGGACACTGGTATTTATTCAGTGTGCCTATTGCAACCTTAGTGCCAGATCTGCAATTCACAGAAGTGGGCATAGTTCCGCTGAATTCCACAGAATTAAGCCAATTTACACCAGAAGAGGGTCCAACCCAGCGATTAAACATATGGCATTGGAGAGGCAGCCAAAATAAACATGCTCACATGCAACTTGGCTGCGATTTAGAAGTAGAGGAAGATTATGGTGGATTACAAATGTGTTTTTTTCCCCAAAGCACATTTAATCCGTTCTTTTTGCTGCATGGGCAACATCGGTTAAGGGCTTCTTGCCTTCACTTCCCTGAAAACTATCTTCTCACCCCGATCTGTTTTTCCTGAGAGTTGCCTGGATGGCAAATGCATATTACTCACAAAAGACTATGTTAAAAAGACATGACTAAGGTTGCAAATGTTGCACCACTGATTACATGACTCAGCTTTTCCAGAAGAACTTTCCTTGTTCCGGGAATTCAGACCTTTTTTTTTTTTAAGAGCCTACTGCCGGTGGAGACCTCCTCTTGCAGCATAGCCCCAAACTAGCCTCCTCTTGCAGCAGCAGCATTATGCCCCCTGAAGACACACTGAGCATTCCAGGCCCCTCACCATGCCACCTCTCTAATCTTAAAGGGGCAGCTCCCAATTCTCCTACTGTTTAATTTGTATCACTATTAACAAAAGTCACAAATATAACAATAAACTAGTATTCAATATTTTTACTGAATATAAACAACATGACCCTATTTCCATAACAGCGATTCCAGGGACCTCACACAACATCAAGCACTCAAAGGTTAGGAAAATGTTAAAATTAAGGTTGCCTGTGTAACCTTAATTTAGCCCCTTTGTGCATATTCATTATAATACGGTCTTTAATTACAAGATCACACATTTTTTGCATGGGAACATGCTCAGTGGCTCTGAGGGGATGACACATGCAGAGTCTGGTCACAAATCACAATACTAGGAGTGTGAGGTGCTGAGGAAGAATCTTCAGACATTTAACTGTTCAAATCAAAGACGTTTCTACTGAGTATGTGCAAACCACAATTTTTCAAAGGCTTATAACTTGGTCACATTTGGGTGGATTTCCATAAGGACAGAAAAAGGCACAAAGGCCACCTGCCTATCAAATTTCAAAACATGGGGGTAGTAGAACTGTTCAAAGGAAAGGTCTCAAGAATTATTTAACATGGGAAAAAGAGTGTATTTTCCTTAGCTCCGTTCTTGGAAATAACTATACCATTTTGGCTGAAATTTTCCAAACAGATTCAGCCTGAGCAAGGCACCTATCGTGGAAAAAATCAGCCTAAACTGTTAAAGTCTGTAAAGTTCTAAGCAATTGAAAACAGGGTCTTACAATGGGAAGTGCCAGGCGACCTTAATAGTAGGTATGCTACCAGCCCCGCCTATAATATCGGAGGAGGTCAATGTGACAACGCTGTCACATGGAATTGTCTCCTCCCAGTTGGGCAAACATTGATGAGCTGAGTTGTATTCAAGTGGGAACTGATAAGGGAAGAATCCCTGGTGAGCTGGGCGTAGTTGCAATTTAGGGGGACAGAGGTTGCCAAGAGCTGCGAGGCGAGTGCATGGAGCAGTCGTGCTGCCTACCTTCCTTGCAGAAGGGCCCTTCGTAGGGAGAGCTGGTGCAGTCACAGAAATAACCGTTGTATTTCTCCACGCATTTGCCTCCGTTGTGACAGAGATTACCATAACTGCTACAGTGTCCCGGGCAGCCAGGCTTGACTCCAGGGGTCATTTTAGCCCTCTCTTCCAGGTCCAGTTTCTGCCCATTTAAATGTAAAGAGCGGATGCATCCCAAGAAACCTTTCTGTCTGGAAGCCGTTCCCCCTGAAACAAGAGAGAGGAACATAAGGGTTTTTGCTTTCAGTGACAAGTCTGCAAAGAAATGCAAAGCTACAAAGAAATGCAAGCACCTCAGGACAGTCATAATACACAGCAATTATCTTACAGTAAAATTTTAAGTATGTTTTCAGGGAATACAGTGCCAGGTTGACATCTCTGGAGACTGAAGTCCTCTGTTTAGAACTCAATACGAAATGGCAATTCTTGCTGCTCCTTGTAAACATCCCTTCATGCTGCACCCTCCCTGACCTGGTCTTTCCTGGGAAATTTCATCCTGCTTTAAACTTGATTTTTTTCCTCTTGGATGAGGAAATAGTGAACGGTGACTTCCACTGTTCTGCTAAGCTCTCCATCATATTACCTTGTCCTCCTAACCCACCTCCCCCACCCAGTTTGCCTGTTTTATCCACTTGCTGCATTTAGACTGTGCCTTGGGGCACAGACTTTCTTCTTTGTTACCTATCTGCACAGCATCTATCTCCTCCAGGTGCTACCGTAATACACATAACAGATGGTAATTGTAATCCTAACAACAGTGGAGTTCGCTGACAGGCTACTGACTTGTCAGCACAGACAAGAACAAGTCATGTCTTTTACCTGTCCTACGTAAATGCTATTCAGGCCAGGGTTTCCCCACAACTGGCAGCCATGATGTTGAAAATGACTGGTCCTTGTGTGCGTGACCAGGCAGTTGTGCTCAGAATCATGTCATTTAACTTGGTTGTTAAAATAGTTTAAACATGATTAAATATCTTAGTGAAAACAAGCTCTCTGGTGTGAAAGGGCAGCTTAGTCTCTACGGTCTATAGGCTAAATTAATAGTCTGCTTCTAACCACAAGGACCCATATTTGTAATGAGGACACTTGTTCCCCGAGAAGTGGGCTGAGACATTAATATCAATTAACAATGACGGCAAAAATAGTTCATAGCAATACCACTCCTTTTACTATTCTGTTCAACAGTTTCCAGTGTTTTGCTCCTGAAACTTCTGCAGCTTTCCCATATCGTCACTGAGGCTGCAGACTGCAATTCTGTTTCAAGAGCAAAACTTCCTTTTCAGACTGATTATTCTTGCTGTGAAAGTTTGGACTTTTTGGTAACACAACTCCGAACTCAGAAGCACCTCTCTAAACTTACTCCCATGTAGATGTTGGTCCCAATGCCACATGATCAGCTGAGTATGATTAGAGAACAATATGTCATAAGACACTTTTGCGATGGACTGCTTGGAGATCAGGGTGTGTTTGGCTGTATACTGTTCAATTAACGTCGCTCTTCCACAAATTAAGAGAGAGAGGTGTGGGGGAGGTGAAATCTCAGAGAAACCCTATCACTCCACCCTACAGTACTGGCTGATGCTTTGCTGTCCAGCCTTCCGAGGGAAACAGTGGGGGCGAAAGACCTCTCTGGCTTTAAGATTAAGCTTGATAAGTTTATGGAGGGGATGGTTTGATGGGATAAAGTGATTTTAGTCAATAGGTCAATAACGTGCCATCGCTGGTAATTAGTAACAATGGTCAATGATGGGATATTAAAAGTTACTACAGAGAACTTTTTCCAGAGGGTCTGGCTAGAGACTCTTGCCCGCATGCTTGGGGTTCAGCTGATCGCCATATTTGGGGTCGGGAAGGAATTTTCCTCCAGGACAGATTGGCAGAGGCCCTGGAGGTTTTTCGCCTTCCTCCGCAGCATGGGGCAGGGGTCGCTTGCTGGAGGATTCTCAGTGATTTGAAGTCTTTAAATCATGATTTGGGGACTTCAACAGCTGAGTCTTCCTCCAGGAGTGGGTGGGTCAGCTTTTGTGGCCCGCATCATGCGGGAGGTCAGACTAGATGGTCCCTTCTGACCTTAGAGTCTATGAGTCTATATTAACAGCAGGAATCCATAGGCTCTGAATCTTGATGGGGATAATTTAGCTCTATACAGCATGACTGTGCCTAAGAGACAGATTGACTTTATGTGCTTTTTATCTTTCATTATGCTCCAGATGATAAAGGAATTTTCTTGAAGAGAACAAACATTTACAGACTCTTCTTTGGAGCAAATTCTCTCTTCCGATGTACAAGCACTGGCTTTCCCCTGATTTTAAAGAGACATGCATCTAAGGACAAGAATTTGGTCATTTGTGTTTACTGTGACCTGAGTGAATGGCCACACCCAAATACCTGTTTATTGGGACTATGCTCCAAGTACATATGTTGGCCAGAGAACCACACCCAAATTTCTAAAGCTAAGCCCAAAGGGCTGACCCAGGAAGACATTTTGAGATCCAGGTTACCCTTGCCTCTCTTTGTTTTGCTATGAACTCCCCTCTCTTCTAAGGAAAGGAAGAGGGGAGAGGACTTTTCTTTGATTTGTTTACTTGAAGGACCCCCCGCTTGGGCATCCACCGGCAGGGGAGAAAGACATTAAAACGGACCAGAAGTTGGGTTTGGAGGGGACTTGAGGGAGCCCCTGCCCCCTGAAAATGGTGGAGAATGTGGGCATAACCACATGTGATACAAGGGTTTCAAAAAAAGCCTTAGAGGGGATAGAGCCCAGCTGCTCCGTGCAAGATGGAAGCGGCGTGGTGGTATAAGCGGTTAGCAGAGATGCAGCACCAGCAACAGCAGTTCCAACAGCAATTGGAGTGGGCCACCCAGCAGCAAGTTCAGACCACACAGCAACAACAGCTGCTGAGGGAACTGATGGCCCAGCAGCAGGACTTTCCAAAGGAAAGGATACAGCAGATAGCACCAGCCCTAGGCCCCTACAGAATTCCAACAGGTCATGCACCAGTATCAGTAAAGCCAACCAAGATGGCACCAGATGATGACCCTGAAGCCTTCCTAGCGGCATTTGAGCAGGTGGCACTAGCAGCCCACTGGCCCCCAGAACAACAGGCTTTGATTCTGGCCCCATACTTGACAGGTCCGGCCCAGGAAATCTATCATAATTGGGACTTAGAGAGAGCAAAAGACTACAAACAAGTAAAGTCTGCCCTTTTGGAGTACTTGGATATTTCCAAAGAGACTCACCGTCAATGGTTTAGAGCCAAGAACTACCCCAAGGGGGCGAGACCCCGGATAGTAGCGCAAGGGTACAGAAAACACTATCGGAAGTGGCTCCATCTGGAGGAGCGATCAGAGGCCCAGGTGACCAAAGCCATCGTGACAGAACACTTCATAAAGATATTACCTGTGAAAGGCAAGGAGTGGGTAATACGGCACTGCCTGGGGACATTATCAGAAGTGGTATGGCTAATGGAGGACTTTGTAGAAGCTGAAAGATCACTAGAGGCAGAAACCACCCAAGGCCTCCATAGGGTGGGGACCACTGCGGGGAGTGGGGTGAGACAGAATCAGCAACAATCTCTCTGAAGGACCCTGAAAAGATCCTTCCACTGGCAGTCCCATGGATGATGATGTATCTGTGCCTGGATCCAAGGATCCTGAAGGAGGAATGTCCTGAGCAACATGGCCTCTGACACCCACAGGGAAAGAAGAGGTAAGCAGTCAGAGCCTGGAAGCCCTACTACAGAGCAGGAATTTTGTGCAACAGCAAAGAAACAACCCTACACTGAACCATGGAGTGCTTGTATTGAATTGAAAGGGATCAACAAACTGGGGTGGTGAGGGCCCAGCAGCTGGTGCTGCACAAGTACCACTGGGCGGTGTTCCAGCGTGCACATGATATCCCATGTCCTGGACACCTGGGGAGAGAGAAGACATTGTCTTGGGTATTTGCCCAATTCTACTGTCTGGGGGTGCATCATGAGGTGAGAGAATACTGTTCCTCCTGCCCAGAATGTCAAGGGGCAGCAGTAACAGGAGCCCTAAGGCACCCTTGGTCCCTCTGCCCTTGATTGAAACACCCAGCGAGAAAATCAGAGTGAACATAATTGGGCCCCTAGAAAAAACTGCCTTGCGGCATCAGTACACATTAGTGATTGTCAACTATGTAACCAGGTACCTGGAGGCTGTTCCTCTGCACTCTCTGTCAAAGCTATAGTGATCGCTCCAGAACTCTTGAAAACCTTCTCATGCATGAGATTTCCCTATGAAATATTAACAGATCAAGGCACTAACTTCACCTCCCAGCTGATGAGTGAATTATGCTCCCTTCTGAAGGTCACATTCCTGAAAACGTTGGTGTATCACCTGCAGACCGACAGCGTAGTAGAGTGATTTAATAAGATGCTGAAGGGAATGTTGAAATGCTTTGTCAGTGACAACCCCAGACAGTGGGACCAGCTACTCTCACCATTCCAGTTTGCCATAAAGGAGGTTCCACAAGCATCTTTACGGTCATCAACCTTGAGGAATCTTGGACTTGCTATGAGAAGGTGGGGAGGAACAAAATGTAGGGGACTTAAACACACTCCAATATGTCTTACAATTAAGGGACCAACTAATAAACATAGGGGTGGTCAACAGGCAGAGAGAATTTGAGAAAGGCCCAACACACCCAGGAAAGAAATTACAATAGAGGGGCACAACTATGGACTTTCCACCCAAGCGACCGTGTCCTGTTGCTACTACCCTCAGCCAAGTCTAAATTAATGGCACAGTGACAGGCATGTCAGGCTGGTTTACTAAGATCTATCATGTGAATCTTTTCAATCCTTGGAAAATGTGGGAGGCCCTGCTGATAACTCCCTTTCTGACTGAACCTGAATTAGGTTCCCAAGTACCCAGTGTCCAAGAACTCACAACAGTCCCGCGGTGAGGGGCTCTTCCCTGGGCAAAGAAAGTAGCTCTTTCAATTGATTGAGGACTTCACAACAGTATTCTCCACCCACCCAGGAAGAACACAGTTGGTCCAATGTCATCTAGAGATTACCCCAGGCCAGCTGGTCAGGGAGAGCCCTAGACCACTGCCACGGAAGATGTGAGATACAGCCCGAGAGGAAGTGCGAGCAATGCTGAAGATGAGGGTACTTGTGGAATCAATAGTTCTGGTTCCCAAATCATAGAGTTTGGTTCAGTTCTGCATTGATTTTAAC